TGCGACGTGTACGATTTAGACTACAGGGTGAGATAAAAAAGACTGCAACAAAGTCAAACGCCATACTTTTACATTTTTTTTTAATTTTATTGAATAAAAGCAAAAAATTTCAGAAATAGCAACAAATTTTAGAATAAGTTTAGATTTGTTTGAATCGGTCATCTTTGGCACGAATTATGGCCTTCTAACGGCCAATGAAACCGTCACAGGCTGCCCGAATGTTGCTCTGCGGTATTTTGGCCCATTTCCGACGAAGCGCTTCCTTAAGGTGATCGACACTTTGGTATTTTTTAGTGCCAACCTTACTTTCCAAAATACTGCAGACACAATAGTCCAACGGACTGGTATCCGGAGATTTTGGTGGCCTTTTTGCGCTGGAAATGAAGCGAGGAACCTCATTTTGTAATCATTCTTGGGTGGCGCGTGCTGAGTCCTGTTGTTATGTCCAAGATCTGTGGTCAAAATGTTTGCATGCCAGGGCTTTAATACACCCTCCAGAATATTTTCGCGATAATTTTCGGAATTTATTCTGATGCCACGGTCGATTAACACGAGCGGAGAGCGACCATCACCATGGCCGGCGCTTGAGTTCTGGTGGCCAACCAAAGGTGCACATTTCCAGCTGACCTCTTTGGCAAGTAAACACTGCTGGATAACAAATATTTTCTCATCGGAGAAAACCAAATTCGGCAGTTCATCCCTTGCGGCCAAGTGAAGCAACTCTTTAGCTCTTTTGAGTCTATTTTCTTTCACTTGCGGTTTAAGTTCTAGCTCTTTTTGGAATTTCAATGGCTTTACCCCGAGCTCATTTTTCAATATTTTCCGAATTTTATATTGCGATATGTTTAACTCACGAGCCATTTCTCGGCCACTGCGACGCGGGTTTCTATCATGTTTCTTCTTTACTTTTCGAACCAATTCTGCTGATGTTGCTGTTTTCTTCCGTCCTCTTCCTTGACGTAAAGCTACGCTACCAGTAAGATTTATTCACATTTAAATGCTGAGTGCTCTAATATATAAAAAATCACACTATCACGCTTGAATTCCATCACGAATAACTTTTTTTCTGGAAAATTCTCACCAAAATGCTTTTGTGCGCTTATTAACAATACAATGAGCTGAGGAAATGAAGAAGGTTCATAAAATCTTACTCAAATGTATATTATATCTGCAGGATTTTTGGTATTGAAAATCGGCTATGTAGGTCCACGTTTTGGTATAGCCCCCATATAATGATACCTCCCTATTTTCGGTGTTTTGGTGATTTAAGCGATATTATTCACCGGAAATTTGGTATTTGAAGTTCGTAATGGATACTACATCCTATGACAGAAAATTGTCTGTACAGGTCCACGACATCGCACATCTCCAACATAGCGGCAACTCCTGATACTCGGTATTTTGATGATTTTAGCGACATTATCCACCGGAAATGTTTCAAATTTGGTATTTGAAGTTCGTAATGGGTACTACAGCCTATGAGAGAAAATTGTCCGTGCAGGTCCACGAAGTTTTTTTTTCAAGTTTCGCGTTTGAATATTATAAGGGCTTATGACAAAAATTGCCTATACAAGTTTAGGTCGTCGTATAAACCTTAATATAACGGCTACATTCGGTATTTTTAAGATTTTAACATAATTTTTACGGATTTCATTTTTTTATTTTTATTTATTTATTATTTTTTTTTTTTTTGAAAATTGCCAAATTTGTTCCAAATGGTGGAGGGTATTCAAAGTTCAGGTCGGCCGAACTTACAGCATTTTTACTTGTTCTTTTTTTAACTAAAGAGTGATTTGTTAAGAGCTTGATAACTTTTTTTTTTTAAAAAAAAGCATAAAATTTGCAAAATCTCATCGGTTCTTTATTTGAAACGTTAGATTGGTCCATGACATTTACTTTTTGAAGATAATTTCGTTTAAATGTTGACCGCGGCTGCGTCTTAGGTGGTCCATTCGGAAAGTCCAATTTTGGGCAACTTTTTCGAGCATTTCGGCCGGAATAGCCCGAATTTCTTCGGAAATGTTGTCTTCCAAAGCTGGAATAGTTGCTGGCTTATTTCTGTAGACTTTAGACTTGACTTAGCCCCACAAAAAATAGTCTAAAGGCGTCAAATCGCATGATCTTGGTGGCCAACTTACCGGTCCATTTCTTGAGATGAATTGTTCTCCGAAGTTCTCCCTCAAAATGGCCATAGAATCGCGAGCTGTGTGGCATGTAGCGCCATCTTGTTGAAACCACATGTCAACCAAGTTCAGTTCTTCCATTTTTGGCAACAAAAAGTTTGTTAGCATCGAACGATAGCGATCGCCATTCACCGTAACGTTGCGTCCAATAGCATCTTTGAAAAAATACGGTCCAATGATTCCACCAGCGTACAAACCACACCAAACAGTGCATTTTTCGGGATGCATGGGCAGTTCTTGAACGGCTTCTGGTTGCTCTTCACTCCAAATGCGGCAATTTTGCATATTTACGTAGCCATTCAACCAGAAATGAGCCTCATCGCTGAACAAAATTTGTCGATAAAAAAGCGGATTTTCTGCCACCTTTTCTAGGGCCCATTCACTGAAAATTCGACGTTGTGGCAGATCGTTCGGCTTCAGTTCTTGCACGAGATGTATTTTATACGGTTTTACACCAAGATCTTTGCGTAAAATCTTCCATGTGGTCGAATAACACAAACCCAATTGCTGCGAACGGCGACGAATCGACATTTCACGGTCTTCAGCAACACTCTCAGAAACAGACGCAATATTCTCTTTTGTACGCACTGTACGCATTCGTGTGGTTGGTCTAATGTCCAATAAAATAAACTGAGTGCGAAACTTGGTCACAATCGCATTAATTGTTTGCTCACTTGGTCGATTATGTAGACCATAAATCGGACGTAAAGCGCGAAACACATTTCGAACCGAACACTGATTTTGGTAATAAAATTCAATGATTTGCAAGCGTTGCTCGGTTAGTAAGTCTATTCATGATTAAATGTCAAAGCATACTGATCATCTTTCTCTTTGACACCATGTCTGAAATCCCACGTGATCTGTCAAATACTAATGCATGAAAATCCTAACCTCAAAAAAATCACCCTTTATAAACGCCATGTGTGAGAGGCTCCAAAAGAAATGGTACGATATCTACCATCTTTATAATACATCTAGTGTTGATAGAAATATTGAGGTGTGCCAAGTCTAAATTGAATCGTATATTAATTTAACGTTTTATGAGCTTTTTGGATATTCAAAATTTTGACCCGTGGTGATGGAGGTACCAGAAAAAGTGAAACGCTATATTCCATCGTCACACCCGATCTTGTAAAATCAATAATATTGGGATGTGTGACTTTTGAAGACATTCGAATTTTTTTTTTTAAATTTCCTAAATGTTGACCCTTTGTGGGGGAGGTACTTGATGGAGTGAATCGATATTGTACTGAACTAGCACTGACAAAAATATTTGGATTTGCAAAGATTGCACCAAATGGAATGATGCTTTCTCTTCCATAGAGGTAAATTATTTTCTTGAAAAATGTTGACCTTTTATGTGGGAGGTACCAGAAGAAGCTAGCCAGACAGACAGACGGACAGACGTCTCTAGATCGACTACAAATGTCCTGAAACGGAACCTGGAGACTAAAACCGTTATTTCGACTTTTTGACGGTCGGTCGAAGCTAGAATCTTGAAATTATGCACTAGGGACTTGATGGTCTTGGTGCGTAATCATGTGACAAGGCTAGGTGTTTAGAAATTCGTACTTATAGAAAGAAGAATTAAAATATCCTATTAATTGAATACTTTGTATTGGACAAACGGAATACACTAGAATTCTGAAATGTTACTAAATTTGAAACAATTTTGGAATTTCAAGTTCCTAATAGGTAATGTAGTACCTATGACAGAAAAAAGTACACACATAGGTTCACGTCTTCGTATAAGTCCAGTACAACGGTAACTCCCTATAATCGGTATTTCTATGATTTTAGCAATATTTTTCAACAAAATTTTATTGAGAATTTGCAAAATCCTTCGAAATGAATGAGGGTATTCAAAGTTCGGCCCGGCCGAACTTACTTCTTTTTTGGCAATATTTTTTAAACAAAACTTCATACATCGTACTAAAAGTTCAGATTTTCAGGGTTTTATATAATATTGAAGTTTTTCTGTTTTGGGAAAAAATAAGGGAAAACCCGTTACTTTTACACAAAATAGTCTTCCAAATATTTTGTTTTGAAGTTTTCATGGAGGATATTAGTAAAACAATTGCACAACCCACATCCAATTTTTCTGTCCAAAACTATTCCAACATTTCCATATGTAAACCCTAGAATCCAATAGTGGCCTCAATACCAAATTTTAGTCAAATTTACTATGTATATCCAAAACAATCTACATCTCCCTATCCTTGACAACAACATTGATCCAAAAATAGTATCATTTAGTACTTTTGGAGCAATTGTGGTGGGCATATGCAAAACCACCACCAGACCTCAACACTGGATACCAACAGAGACTTCAATATTAAATTTCATTATTTGAGCTCTATACATTTACTAAATACCAAATTTTGTAACATTTAGTAGTTTTTGTATAATTTTAGTACTCATTTGCAAAACTAGACACCAACAGTTATCGCTGTATCCCTTCAGCCAATATGTAATTTAGTACCATTTAGTACTTTTCGTACAAATATAGGACGCATTTCCTAACCACCCCCAAATCTCAAACACAGATACCACCATTTCGTTATTACAAACCTACCATCAACAGGGACCCGAATACATCAACAATATTATCAAATTCAAGCATCTCTCGTTCACCCTAAACCAACCTGTGGCGCACTTAGTTCGCGTTACCAAAACTACCTTAATCGGTTCAGATTTAAAAATCTTCCACATATATCTCGGTCCGAGTTCTTTAAAAAAATTTACAATTTCACTAACATTTACAAAAAAAATGGCCAATACAAGTTAAAATACACCACTTCCTTCTTCTACTTTCAGGTCCAGCCGTCGTTATTCCATTTCGTGTATGACAACGTGATTGTGTAGCGACTACGATGTCGCTCCATGAGACGCCATCAAATATCAGATTATTCGAGACATCCACACTGAAATCGATAGCGGCATCAACAATTAAAACATTAAAAAACAGCGGTAGCACTGCCAAACAAAGTCCTGCATACAATCGGCCAACAACTCATTACCAACAAAATTTTCTCTTTGGAAAAGCCAGGCAACAGCAGCAACGCCATCCACAGCAGCATCAGCAACAGTACCAGTATCCCGAACAGAATGAAACAACATTTGCACTGGTCTCTCAAAATGCAAACAATGCAACAGCCACCTTAACAACAGCGTCGACAACAACAACACGACCAACAATAGATGAGAATCTAGTGGCAACATCACAACGTCAACAGCCTGCAATATCCATGTTAACCAATGCTGCCAATGAAGCCTCATCGCACACCAGCATAGCAACATCAATTCCTCTACCGCCATCAACCTTATCTTTGCCATTATCGTCGTCGTCATCATCATCATCAACGTCCATGCTAACAACGTCAAATTCATCGGCTACATTTCCTCATGACTTAACATTGGCATCATCCTCCTCCTCGACATCCACATCTCCGTCCTCATCCTCGGAATCATCGGGCACAAGCGCCCTATCAACCCCCACATTTTCATCGCCAACTGTTTTCAACGATTCGGTAAAAACGTTAACTTCCGCTCTCACAACGGGTACATTCAACGATGCCGCCGATGCAGCAACCTCCTCCTTTCCCCTGTCCGCCACCAACAATGCCTTAGATGAGAATTTATTTTCCACTCCTTACAGTTATCTCGATGGCTACAGTAGCAGCAACAGCATCACGGCGACCACCATCACCAACACAGACGCCATTCCCACCACCACCACCAGCACCTCCCTCATTAGCGGCGCCATTATGAACAATAGCAGCTACTTTGGCTCGCCATTCAATCTAAGCCTTTCGGAGAATTCCACAACGACATCACTGCTGTCCTCGATGGCCTCTATTACCAGCGATGTCAGTATCGCCGATGACAGCGACAGCGATAATTGGATGGACCTTTCGGTAGTCATTCTGAAAGGCTTTATATTCTTCTCAATTATTCTAGCAGCCGTTCTTGGAAATGCGTTGGTTATAATTTCCGTTCAGCGTAATCGTAAATTGCGGTAAGTATGCAATTGTCAGCAGTTTGTTGGATTCAATCCATAGCCATTGATGGCGATGTAATGACGATGCCGACGATGTTGAGGACATTTTCACTTTGTGGTTTCAAATTTTAATCACAAGTATAATTTTGTGTGTAATGGTCGTGGAAATTATGGCCATCATAATGTGGCTTCCTTTTCGAGGGTGATTATGGGTGATAATCGGCAATTTTACAAAATGTTATTGCAACAGCCCATAATGTAAAATAAATATTGTTTTCAAGAGTCTCGACAAACAAAATCGAGGGTTTACTTATATCCCCAAAAGGAAATGCCTTTTGGGGATATAAATAAAACCCCTTAGCAATATGGCTACAGAAGGTTTAGACTCTATGTCTCGTTGGACCAAATCCTTTCCGGACATCCAGAGTTGATGTAGCGGTTTCCGTCCGTCCGTCTGTCTGGCTGGTGCTCACGATAACTCTCGAAGGGAGTATCTGATTTTGTCCAAACTTGGTACTTCGTAATATTATTATTTAACTTAGATCCAGTTCGGAGATGGGCAATATCGGTCCAGTCCCCCACAAAAGGTCAAAATTTTCACAGAAAATTACTGACTTCATATAAAAAGAAAGAGTCATCCAATTTTGTGCATCCTAATATTTTTATCAGTGCAAGGTCAGGTGTGAAAATCGACAATACCCGATCACTCCATCCAGTGTATTCCTCACAAAGGCTCAACATTTTGAATAATTACAAATCTTATAAAATCTAAAATATGTGCCCAAGTGTCTTCAAATCGGCACATCCCAATATTTCTCTCAACATAAGATCTGGCTGCCCCACAACGGGTCAAAATTTTAAATAAACCTATAAATCATAAATTGCGAAGTGAGAACTCGATTACTTTCAAATTCGGCTCATCGCAATATTTCAGTCGATACAAGACCAGATATGAAAATGGTCAAATTTTTTAATAATAATAAAAGTCGCGATTTACTTCAACCTTTGTATATTTCAATCCATAGATCCAATGAAAATACCACAAAGAGATTCAACATTTTGAAAAAGGGAGTAGTCGGTATAGCTCAAACCTACGACGTCATAATATTTATATCAGAATTAGGTCAGATGCGATGTGGATAATATTGGTCAACATCCTTGGTACCTTTTCCATAAAGGGTCAACAATTTGATTATGCCTAACGTAACTCAAAGTATTTTTTATTAAACTGATACAGGCTGTGGATATACATCAGCCGGTAAAATCAACTGCTTTTTAACTTGTTTTCGTCCAAATAGGATGCATTTCGGCACATCCGACCAAATTCAAAATTGTAGGATTTTCAAGATTTCCTAGCTAAAAACTGTGGATTTTTTCAAGGACTTTTAAAAACATGGCAATGAATTTTATTATGAAATCTTCTGAAAATAATCGTAGATTTTGTAAGAACCTTGCTATGGACTCCATTCCCTAAAACCGGTTCCTTCGTGCAAAAAATTTAGGGTTTTTACAAATACCAATTTTTACAGCCCCAGTCACATGGCTAGACTCTTTGGACCAAATCCGGACATTTGAAGTCGATCTAGCGATGTCCATCCGTCTCTCTGGCTATCTTATCTTCAAATTACACACATCACAATATTTTTATTAATCCAAGGTCTGGTATGAAATCAGGATATATCGGTTCACTCCTTCTGGTACCTTGCCCACAAAAGGTCAATATTTTGAATATTCATGAAGCTCATAAAACACGAAACTAAAATCCGATTCCATTCAGACTTGGTACATCTCAATAATTCCATCTGTTATAAAGGTTGTAGATATCGGATCATTCCTTCTGGTATATCCCCCACAAAGGGTAAACATTTTGAATAATCATGAAGCTCATAAAACGCAAAATTAACATCCGACTCCATTCAATATTTCCATCAATACAAGATCTGTTATAAAAAGATAATGATCATACCATTTCTTCTGGTATCTCCCCCACATATAATTCAATATTTTGAAAAACAAAACACTCAAAGAAAGTGAAATAAGCATCCAACTCTCTTCAAATTTCACAAATCTAAATATGTTTCCTAACGCAATATCTTCCAGCCCCTTCTGGTAGCTCACCTACAAAGGGTCACAATTTCCAATAATTATAACGGTCATAACTTGCGAAACAAGTCGGCGATACTTCCCTTCAAATTTTACACCTACCAATATTTTTATCTAAAATAGATGAAGTGGAATATTTCAGTCCGCTATATCTGGTACCCCACACATATTTCCATATTTTTCCAAAAATTTGCACATACCTCATATAAAGTACAGGAAGTAGACGATATAGTCCAAATCTGGCACGTTGTAATATATATCAGCCTTAGGGCAGATACGAATTGGTCAATATTGGCCAACTGATTCGGAACCTCACCATAAAGGGTAATCACTATGAATAATCATACCTCATGGCTGAGGGTATGCATCTGATGGCAAAACCGACTGATACTATTTTACTTGTTCTAAGTAGTTGCAGTTATAGGCTCCTGGTATATATGTGCCAGCAAACCTATTGATATTTTTCTGACTTGTTTAAAACAACTTTTCAACACCAATCAAAGCTTTAATTGTAGATTATAAAAAAAAAAAAACAGAAATAAAAATTTATTTTAATAATAATAATAATATTACTTGGATTTTTAAGAATATATTTTCAGGAGCCCTTATAAGTAAAGCCGTGGACATTTTAAACAAAAATTGCAAAAAAAAACCCTTAGAAGAAAAATCGATCTCCGAAAAAATTTCAATATTTTTAAGAATAATTTGTCAAGGGACCACCTGACAAATTTTTGGGATTTGTAAAAACATTTTCTTAAAAGCCCATTAAATCGAAATGTTGGAGCCCTTAGAAGCGAAAGCTCAACTTTTCATATAAATCTTCTTAAGAGACATTAGGATAATGTTTGTTTTTAAATAATTTTTCAAACTGCCTCAGAATAAAAATCTTGGGTTTTTATGAACATTTTTTCCAAAACTCTTAAGTGTGTTTTTATAAGTGTTTTTATTTTTAGTGTTTTTATAAGAGTACTTGGATTTTTGAGAATCCAAACTATGCATTTTTAGAAATATCTTTCAGAAGAACTTAGAACACACATCGTACACGTTTACAAAAAAAAAAAATTGAAAAATTGTACTGCAAATGAAAATAGTGGATTTTTTTAAACATATTTTTTTTAAGATATCCCATGAGACCTCATGACAAAATCTAGAATTTTTGTACCCTCCAACATAGTATGGAGGGTATATTAAGTTTGTCTTTCCGTTTGTAAAACCTAGAAATATACATTATATATCCCACAAGGTATATATATTCTTAATCAGCATATAATTCTATGTCGATTAGCGAACTCACTCTAGTTTCCGAACGAGATGAAGTATGTTGATAAAATTGTACTCAAATGTTCATTATGTCTGCCGGGCTCATAGTATTGAAAATGGGCCATGTAGGTCCACATTTTGGTATAGCACTCATACTATGGTACCTCCCTATTTTCGGTATTTTGATGATTTAAGCGACATTATTCACCGGAATTGTTTCAAATTTGGAATTTGAAGTTCGTAATGGATACTACAGCCTCAGACAGAAAATTACTCATGTAGGTCCATGTCTTCGTATAGCCCCCATATAACGGTACCCTCCGATATTCGTTATTTTGATTATTTTAGCGACACTATTTAGCGGAATTGTTTCATATTTGGTATTTCACAGAAAATTATCTGTGCAGGTCCACGTTTTGGTATATCCCCCATATAATGGAACCTCCATATATTCGGTATTTTTATGATTTTAGCTACATTTTTACCGATTTTTTTTTTTTTCAAGTTTCGCATTTGAATATTGTACTGGCTTCTGACAAAAATTGCCTATGCAGGTCCACGTCGTCGTATAGACCCTAATATGACGGCTATATTCGGTAGTTTTAAGATTTTAACAGAATTTTTAACGGATTTTATTTTTTTGAAAATTGTAAAATTCGTTACAAATGGTGGAGGGTATTCAAAGTTCGGCCCGGTCGAACTTACTGTTTTTTTACTTGTTTAATATTATTTTTTTTTTTAGAAGTATATTTTTTTCTTTCTATTTAAATTTTTTTCTATCAATTTCCAGAAAGATCTACTGTTCTGTCTCCTGATCACAAAATGGTACAGATTTTTCAGGAGTTTTTTCAGAGATTTTCTAAAAGGGAATGCATTTTTTTGACCTTTTTATTTCCTAGTAGAAACATGGAATTTAAAAATATTTTTAAGAACTCTATCAAACAATCTTAGATTAGTTTAAGTATATGTTTAAGATTCCCTAAATAGGACTTTCAAGGACTTCTAAAAAATAATGTGTTTAATTATAAACTTTGCGGAAAATAATATTGGATTTTGTAAGAGCCTTGCTATGGACTCCATTCCCTAAAATCGGGGAAAAAATATGAAGAGTCTCATGCTCCCTGGACAAAAAGGGGTTAAACATTTATGGCTTGTTTACGAATATTCATTTTTTTGCCTATAAGTTGTAATTACAGGCTCATGGTATATATGTTTAAATTTAACGCAATTTTTCTTTAATGCTAAGTTATTTAAGAGAAGTCCTAAAAACAAAAATAAACCTATATGAAGAATATATTAAGATCTGCCTTAAGAAAAATCCTACACCTCTTACAAATATTTCTTCAAGATTCCTCTAAAACAAAATCATGAATTTTTACTAATATTTTTAGCAGAGTTGTCAGAACTAAAATCGCGTACATCGTCACAAAATTCCTCAATTAACAAAAATTTATTTTTAAGAATATATTTTCAGGAGACTTATAAGTACAGTCGTAGACATTTTAAACAAAAATTGCAAAAAAAAACCCTAAAAAGAAAAATCTATCTTCGAAAAATTGTATATTTATTAAGAATATGTTGTCAAAAGACCACCTCACAAAATTTAAAAAATTGTTTTTAAAAGCCCATAAATCGAAATGTTATTGCCCTTAGAA